ACGAGAATCGCATAAAAATTTAAGGTCGAATAGTTTTCAGTACTCAAGCGCTGAGCCCTCCTGGACTAAAAGTAACAGTATACGTCGCTTTATTTATGGCAAGTATTAAGAAATTGAATTATGAAACTGAAAAGTTTGTTGAAGTCATGTGTGCGATAGGTTTTATGTTAGAACTATATTAATTTATGCTAGGCCATATGTGACAGCTTAAGAATTGAAAAAATTAATTTTATGTATTATGTATTATAGTTGCAATAAAAGTAGTGATTTATACACCCTTTGAGTTGCAATCTAATAGATATGTAATCACTACATTATACAATTATTGTTTTAATTACAGATTAATTAATTAATAAATTAATGTTCTCTATTCTTCTTTTAAGTGATGCTAGTAAATAAATTTAAACTTAAAATATTCATAACATTCATAACTTTTCAGAAACGCATGGCAGCATTATATTTCCGGATCATTTTTTTAGTACAAATTTTTTATTCGTACCGAAAATCACGGAGAAGTGCAAAAGGCTGGGTATTTGCGAAGACATTCCTAACTATCCCGAACATCATATCGAACGACTGTTGGAAAGGGTAACTGTCTTTATTTAATTTATACAAATAGATTATTAGTTTAGATTCGACATGAAGGACCAATTTCCTATACAAAACTGTTTAATATTTTTAGAGTAAGGGAGACGAACGAGCCCACAGTCTACCTAATGGTAAAGTGGATATTGTGGCCCATAGACATCTACATCTATCCTCGATTAAGAATGCAAAAAGCAGATGGGTTATATAACCCTGAGGAATAAGATAGAATGCCTCATTTTAAGTAAAACCTGTACTCGCTTCTCTACACCATAGAATACTATAATACATGCATAATAGAACGGGGGAGTGAGTGGGTGGAGCCCGTGTAGCCACTTGCATGTCACTAATACGTCAATTCACACGTATAAATGTCAACACAATCAATCGTTTCCAATTTTCGTGTCAAGCGTCGCTGCATGCAAATTATTTAAAAGATGGCAAATTGTGCAATAATTACGGAAAATGGGAAATGGAATTTAAATAAAGGAGACATATTCTACAACCAGTAAGTCGAAACTATTTATATTTTGTGAATATTAGAAACAAAAATAAAGAAACATTTATGTGTAAAAACATTAAATCAAATGTCTAAAATGTGTTTGTAGTAGTGATAACTGATAATACGACGTAATTGCTCATATGTGTGCTCTCGGCGACGCCAATCTTCCTACAAAGTAAGGTTGACAGCCATTCTGTTATGTATTACAGCCTGGCCGCGGGACATTCGCGTAGCGAATGTCGAGGCGTCTAGCGACTAAAACAAATGTATGGGTCAAGCGACGCGCAGAGGCGAGTGGCGACGCGACCGGCGAAATTTACCGGGCGAATCGCGCGGGCGACTGGCGGCGTGGCCGGCGACTGAAACAAATGTATGAATCAGTACGGTGCAAGCCACGGAGTCGGGCGGCAGACGCGGCGAAAACCGGCGAATAGTATAGGGAATAAAATATTTTAGTTGTTTGCGCCGCGAAAAATGCCAGGCTGACAAAAACAACTTAAAATTCTATCCGCATTGACATTTATCTCCAATTCTGGTTACAAGAATATAATCGCAGGTTTCGACACTCATTCTGGTATTTACTCGAAATTTTTTTCTAGATGAATTCTATTTGGTGTGTGTGTGTTGTAGTTCTCCATTTATAACCCGATTCCTATTCAAATCATGTACTCTGCAATCTCTTCTAAATATTATGTCTTGAATCAATAAATAATTACTTTCTAAGCAATTATCGAGATAACTTTGATAAGGACATTTCACTCTCGGCCTACGCGACGCGGCGGCAAACGTGACTGCCCGTGGCTTACAAATCGCGCCGCGCGAATTATCGCTCCGCCTGTCGCTTCGCCGTTCGCGCCGCCGATCCCCGTGGCCAGGCCGTTATAGTATTCTATGCTCTATACTCACCATACGAAGCACAGCAGCATAAAGATCTTTATTTTTCGACGTTAGAAATTAAAACTTCGTTTATCAAACGTCAACATGTATAATGACTCTCCATTATGACTGTGCCGGAGCAACGTATCGTCGTGGTGCGATCCTTCAATATGCATGTTCCCGGGCAGTCCTAGCATTTGCATTATTGAACTCTGTACATTTTAGTTGGTATTAAAATTAAATATCAAACACATTTATTAATTTTAGAGGAAACTATTCAATCGGACTAAAATTAACGTGGTAAATGAGGTTCTGAAACCCAAATTCGGCCTAAAGTTTGGACCCGAAGAAGATTTTTTGGAACTGTGCAAATCTACAGAAAAGGTAGGAATCATTACATGATAATATTTAAGTTTATGTTACTTGAAAATATGCTATATTAACAAAATACACTTTCAGCTTGTCGCACCCCGAGCAGCGAAAGACATTAATAACAAGTGGTATTTTATTTTGAATAGAGAGAAGGAACCACAACAAAAGTTTCGAGTTGAAATCTGCGCGTAAGTGATCAAAGCAAAACTACGTTTCTTTTTAAACAAGCAAAACAAAACAGCAGCTAAACAGCTCATTACAGATTTTTATAGGATAAGGTGACAAACGAGCACACAGTCCACTTGATGGTAAATGGTTGCTGTGGCCCGTAGACATCTACATGTATCCTCGATTACGAATCAAAATGCAGACGCATTGTCACCCGTGAGAACTAGTATGGAAAGCCTCATATCCAGTAAAAAGGGTCTCCGGTCTCTACACTCACCCTACGAAACACAGCAGCATTTGGCTACTATTTTACGCCAGTATTCTGTGAGTGTGTGGCCTACCCCGGTCGAGCCGACCCATTCGTGCTACGACTATACTACTAATATAACTGCAGCATGGCTCTATCACATATAGATATTGCGATTCCCTTCAAAGCTTTTATTTTTAGAGAAGGGGAGAAGAAGGTTCAACCGATGTAAGGCAGGATTATAACCAATCATTTAAACAATTCATTCAATTATTCAGCCGATCAAAATTTAACTGTTGACTTAAGCCTCCCCCATAGGGGGAATATTTGTCATAGTTGCCACGCTTTTTTTATTTAGATTTGTTATCATAAAGACGCTGTTACCCATTTTTTTATTTCCCTCTATCGTCTCTTACGACACCGATGGGATGATATTGGGGTAGTAGAGTGTCTTACACTGCCACTACACGGTGAAACAATGTTTCCTTTTCACATATAAACTATGGTACGTGAGGGTAATAATATGGTCATCCGGTTAATATAGTCACTTTCTTATAAATCAAAAACTATAGCCTTGTTAGCATAGATGGCTCTGTGTTACGATAGCTCTGCATCAGTGAATCAAGTAAACAAATAATAAAGGGCAAAAGGCCGCTGCATTACCTAAACTATTTTGACAGTTGACATTTTATAGTTTTTTAAGTTCATTTTTCGAAGTATTCCTATAGTTCATAAAAGATAGCTTGATCTCTGCAACAGCTGTCAGTAAAAATCACGCCTATGAAGTCCTGAATTTCTTAGTAGTACAGACAGTACGCCGACCTAATTAGTGCATGCCCATGAAGTATGACATTGACAGGTACTGTCTATACTACTAAGAAATTCAGGACTTCATAGGCGTGATTTTACTGACAGCTGTCGCAGAGATCAAGCTATCTTTTATGAACTATAATTGTTACCAATACTTGTCTGCTATTTTTTTCTTAATATATACGTTCTAGTATACTTCTTTATGTTTTGTCTTCGTCCTCCTAGTTTTGGTTTTATATGGCGACATAGTTTAAGGCATATTACTCTCACGTATCTTAATATCATCGCTAAGCTATAGCTGATAAGCTTCATCATAATCATCACCACAGCTTCTATTGCCGAACATAATCTTCCTTACGTGGTAGAGCCATGCTGCAGTTATATTAGTAGTATAGTTGTAGCACGAATGGGTCGGCTCGACCGGGGAAGGACCACGCTCTCACAGAATACCAGCAAAATAGTAGCTTAATGATGCTGTGTTTTGTATGGTGATTGTAGAGAACCGGAGACCCTTTTTACTGGAAACGAGGCATTCCATCTTAGTCCTCACGGTTGACAACACATCTGCATTTTAATTTGTAATGGAGGATAAATGTAGATGTATATGGGTAGGGAGTAACCAAACGCTGAGTTCGCTGGTATACATAACTGCTAGTCGAGAACCTTTCTTCCCAGTTGATCGTTGTTTCTTGAATTTGAATTTTAAATTAATGTATTTTAACTTGCAAGTATTTAAGTATGTCTTACAGTGAACATTGTTATGGTTATGTTGTTTTCCAGGAAACAGAGTGCACCTTGCTCCCCTGTCGCCCACTTCGCTCAAGGTTATCGAGGAAGGTGCATTCAGAAATACGTGCTGCGTATAATGACAGCCATCGATAAGTACGGTGACATAATTGAGATGCCGTTTCGTGTCCCTAGCTGTTGCTCCTGTGTTTATAGAGTAAATAGCATATACCTATAACTTGTATTTTTTCTTAAACCTATAATGTTTAATGCCTTGCTACCAAATTAAGTCGTAAATATTACCATATTAGTTTTCGTATCCTATATTTCATATCTTTTTCTGCCGGTGCTTTAGCCAGAGATGCTCGGAGAGAGATTTAGCGCAGACTTTCTCCTCCAAATGTTGCCATATCTTATAATCCAGTGGGCTTAAATCTGGACTAGAAGAGGGCCAGTCTTCATGTGCGATAAAGTCAATTTCATGGGCGGTCAACCAGTTTTGCGTGATTCGTGTCCTATGAGCTGGTGCAGTCTTGTTGGAATATCCAATGTCTATTTTTAAACATTGTTTGAGAAAGAGGTTCCACTGTTTGATAGGACGATATATTGGTACACCCCGGCACTGGTTTTTACACCTTTTTTATAGAAAAACAAATCAGTTAAGCCTGAATATGAGACTCCAAGCCAAACCATGAGTGACGAATGATAATGTGCTCGTTGAACCCTCAGAATACGCGTTCTTAATATCCTCCTCGAATACCTTATCATTTTGTTTATTCTAACTTTCTTCGATGTTAAAAATTTTTTCATCCGAAAACAAAATTTCGCGGTAATTTTTTCCCGCGCACCGCCGTAACAGAGCGCGGGATGTATTCAGTCCATTGAAGTAAAATGTACTTACGTACTAGAACAGCTATTTCAAACAAAAAATTTGCGCTACTCTGTATCCGCGCGGTTCGTGTTTTTTTATCATAGAATAAACATAGGTAGAATGATTAGTAGGTAATAGTAGATTGTGAACAAAAAAAATTTTATAATTTAAATTGAAAAAAAAAAAAATAATTTTATTTTTTTTTTTTTTTTTTTTTTTGACAAAATTAAAAAAAAAAATTGTTAAATAGGTAAATTATATCGAGAACAATATTTAAATTTTGTCATTTATTTTGTATATTATATTTGCTTATTTAATATAATAGTACATAATCACAATTACATTTTAATGATATTTTTATCTCAATATTTTAAAAGGTATCTATGTCAAATATAAAAAACATACTAATTGTATGTTTAACAAAACTTATTAGGTAATATAACATTTAAATTACAAATATATTTATTTAAATTAGAATAAGAGTCGTTAATAAATGCTAGGCACGCGAGAGTTAAAAATGTAGGAATTTATTCCACTTTGACTTTGACTTGAAAACCTAAAAATAAAATAAAAGAATAATGAGCAGATAAATTAAATATTAAAATTTAGCCTAATCAACAAAGTCTTATCGTCGAAATGCACATCATCACACGGAAATAATAAATCAGTATTCATTCATCAAGATTTAAAAAGTTTTTTTAAGAAACGACGCAGTGAAAAAACAATTTCAACCTACCTACTATATATATGTTTCTACAAAAAAATGTGTAAAATAATATATTCTTCCTATACTTAAGTACCGAAATGTTGCATCTGAACAAATTAATTTCATAATCTATATTCCATGAAACGAGATGGCGTCTAAGGAATAATTTGTTTTATTATTAATATATAATGCTTTTTTAACCGATGAAAAGTAATTCCTTGGTTTTTACTGACATTACTTGAACTATTTGTGCAATATCTAAGTACATACGACGGCATATTTTTATCAAGAGATTTTTTTTTCAAGAAATCAACACAACACGTGACAGCTCTACAAGCGCCTAGCGAGTGACTGATTAAAGTGCGGTGTATGCACCGCAGTTGAGTGGAACAGAGTAGCTGAATGCAGTGTCGCCTTTAGTACGTAGTACATAATAGCTCAATGATCCAGTCTAATTTTTTTCAAACGCTCGTTCAAAAATGTCCGGTCTTCTTACGATAAACTCGTAGTCTTAGGTCTTCATTGATCACTCTTTTGACCATGGTTCTGCTTAGGCCCATCTGAAGAGCTAAGCTTTTTTGTTTACGAACAGGATTTCGTTGGATTCGCGCAGATTCGCGCATTCACTGCTTTGATGATCGCGGATGTCCCACTGTACGAGGTCAGCCGGTCCTCTTACGATGTTCGAAGCTTGAATTTTCAATTTTTGTAGAATATTGAAAATCTCTTTTGACACGTAACCACAGCGGTGCAACGCGATATCCGCTACTCTATCTTCTTTCTGCGACCACTCCATATTTGAAAATGAATGAAAATTACCTAATATCTTTTTTATTTTCGGCAACGTTATATTTTTAAAATTGGTGAAGTTCATCTAGCCAGTATTCAAAAATTTTAAATAATAAGGTTTTTGACAGAAATTATGACCCGACCATAAATAAATAAATATGTAGCAAGCTAGACCCGACTAAGTATAAAAATGTATTAGTTGACCACAGCGCCACCTATTGGATCTTATCGTAGCTATTAATAAACGTAGTGATTATATTCTCTTTGGCTATAAAACATCATCTTGACACACCATAGATTAAATAATGTTATTACGTAAACTCAACACACAAATTGTTTAAAAAGTAAACAAATTTTAAGTGGGGTCCACAAAAATTTATCTGGTTTCGATAGTTAAGAACAAAAATGTTGGCTTGGCTTTACCTATCAATGTAGACAGATAACTACCTACTCAAAAAACCTTAAGGACGCAAAAAAAATTCAAAATTTTCGGTGATTTTTGACAGGTTGTATTTCAATTAAAAATGGTCCACAGGGAAAAAAAGCTATCTTGACTGAATTAAATGTTCTTGAGTCAATAAAGTTTTAAGGTCAAAGAAGGAAGGCCAGAATTCTTCGATCAATCGATTTAATTAATTTTAATTTAAAATCTTATGTCAATTAATTGTTCCTCAAGTCAAATAATCTTTCACGATAAAATGAAAATACTTATTAATTAATTCAAATTTATTTTTCTTAATTAAAATCCTAAAGAAAAAAATATTTAAATCAAGATTTTTTCAAGAACATTCATTTAGTTTAATCAATGGTAATATCTTTTGATTGGAGAAAAATTAATTTTACCCACTAAATTCCATTCTTTTGTTAGTAAGTAATATAGTTTTTCCAGGCAATATGACCCCTTGAACGGAGAATAAAATTTCTTGGCTCAAGAAAATTATGTTCTTGGTTTAAGACAGCTTTTTCAACAACTTGTTATTAAATCAATCACAATATATTGTTTTAAAAATAAGAAAATCATTTTGACTAGGATTTTTCCAAATTATATAGTATGATACCATATTTGTAGCACGAATGGGTCGGATAGACCGGGGAAGGACAATAGCAGCTCAATACTGCTGTGTTTTGTATGGTGAGTGTGGAGATCCAGAGACCTTTTTATTGGAAACGAAGCATTCCATCTTAGTCCTCAGGAGTGACAACGCATCTTCGTTTTGATTCTTAATCGAGGTTAAATGTAGATGTCTATGGGCCACAGCATCCACTTACCATCAGGTGGACTTATTCTATAAAAAAAGATAATATTTTTATTCTAAATTCTGTGCTTTGTCTAGTGTAGTATCCAAAAATGTGATTGACTGTAAGGTCAGTGTGACTGTTGAGCCAAAGATATGGGCAAAGTAAATAGACTCCGGCAAAGACTGGAATGGCTTAGTTGCTAAAGATCTCGCGCGACGCCGAGTTGGTCTGGACTCGATTACCGCGTTTAGCGATCAATTATTTTCTCAATTTGTTTAAATACAACTCAACAACTCATTAAGAAAACTTACGCTTACCACGAGTGGTTAAGGGGAATAGTAGTTAGTAATGTTTATAGAATTGTTAATATTCTTTGAAAAAAAAAGCAAAAAAAAAAGAATAATAAAAAATAATAAAAAGAAATCTTCTTTTCTATCTTCTGAATATATAATTGTTCTCACAGTATTATACCGTATTTTAACACAATCCTTGGGGATGAGACGGTGGGCCCAAGCTATTTCTATAATGATTTGTATATAATGGCTTCTCTTCTTATATTTACGCGAGCACTATCAGTAGTAGGAGGGAGGGGACATGACACCATCCATGATTATGGCTTCTACAAAGCACCAGAATTATCGGGAATTAAAAATATATAATAAATAGTCCCATAGTAATAAATATCTTAACTGAAAAAAAAATTGTTTCGATAAAATAATTAAAAAAATATTTCGATCCGTGCACAGCATGTTCGCTTCAACGTCTCAAAGTAACGACGATGGCTTTTTGTTTGGTTAATAATTCTAATATCAAATTAATTTCATTTTAAAAACATGGTTTTTTTTCAAAATTAGTCATTAATTTATTGATTAGCGTTATGTTATCATCGCATTTGAATTATTTTTTTCTTCATGGATACGTTAAAATTCGAGTAATTATGGAATATGAGCACCGTCGTGGCAGCAACGTTTGTTCTGTGTCTGGATGTAATTTATCTATAATATTTATGTATTTAGAAATATATAAGTATGTTTATCAGTTGTCTAGTACCCATAACACAAGCTCTGCTTAGCTTGGGACTAGATGGCGTTGTGTTATAGTTGTGGAATATATTATATTGTATTAAAGTCGAGAAATTTGTTAAAATTTCTCTGAATTATTATTATAGACACGAATTATGAATCTACCATTTTTACATTTATAACAAAAATTCGTAGAAAGATCTTTCACAATATTTTATATGCTCGTAACAAATTTATGGCTTTGATAATGATAATTAGTGATAATACTGATTAAATAAAACTATACTGCAAATTATGTAGCGCTAATTAAAATACTGCGTTAAAAAAATTACTGATAAAAATTTATTTCCAGCGTTAATAACGACGAAATTTAAAAGCAACTTTTTTAATGCTAGTAACTTTCTACTTGTTATTGCATACTGCACAGCTGGAAGTAGTGGATGCTGGTGATAAGAAGACTGGTTATTTTCTCGCTCAAAGGCTAAGTATAGCCATTCAGCTAAGAAACGCAGCCAGCGTTCTGGCACTAAGCCGCGGAGAGTAGGACTATCATCATCATCATCATCACAGCCCCTCACAAGTCCACTGCTTAACATAGGTCTCCCCCAAGG